TTAGTACCTAAGGGGGGGGGGGGGGGAACTGACCCTTTCTTATTCATCCTCAGAGATTTCGGTGGCCTGAGGTAAAAGCAAGTTTTCTAGATCTGGATTCCTCCATCATCTCCCTCATGCCCACGTACTCTCTCCTTCAGCTACAGTGATGTTCTCACCCATCTCTTGATCTTTCATGACACGGAGCACAGTGATTTTCCTGCTTCAAATTTTTCCATAACCAACTGGCACACCTTGCTCATCAGTCAAGAAACAATTGAGATGTCATCATTTTCAAAGGCACCTCTCCCAGCTTCTGGAGATAGAATGCACAGCTCCGACCCCAGGCTCACCATGCTCACCCTGCTCTACACACACTCCCACTCTCCATTTATCTGGATCTATGGCCCCACCTCCACTTCACTGGCTCAGGAGCCCTTCCAAATCAGGAACTACACAGGATTTATTTTTATATTCCCAGTGCCTAGCACAGAACAGAAAACTGCGGTAGCTCGATTTCATATTTTCATCATCTATGAGGTGAAAGTGACGTTGCTAGACATGTGGACCCAGTACTGTAACTCCTGCAGCTAGATTTAGTCAGGACCCAAATCTAAGCATCTGTTCAGTACAGTGGGGATTGTGAGAAAGATGCAATAAAAACGAGACTTGTGCTAGTGGAAAAGAAAAAAAAAATTAGGGACAGGAAAGAGAGATACTTAGCAGAGAGAGGTACTGAGCTGGGGAGTCAAAATGCCTCCCTTACCCTCTCACTTCTGTGCCTCCCATTCTCCTTGTGCACAGGAAAGGTCAAGTCTAGCACCAAAGTAGAGAGGAGGCTGGAAAATGCCAGGCATACCTTCAGCTCCAGGACTGGGAAAAGGCTTTCCCTTCCCCAGCAAGGTCATTTCTATGGTAACCAAAACTGTAAAGGGGAAAAGCACAAAAGAAAACCCCTTCCTCTGCACTTCTCTCCACCTCTGGCCTTCATCAGTAAACATAAAAATATGATGATGTAAGAAATTAAAAATGGTTCAAAAAACCCATAATCTCCCCCAACCCCCAGGCACAAATATTAAGCTATAGATCATTCCAAATCTATACAGAGAGTAACTAACGCGTCACTGGCTCCTTGTCCTGCTCAAGTCAGCTGAAGTGTTTGTAGCTTTGGGGTACAATCCCACGTGTGCCAAACCAGCTACCTGAGGAAGTAGGGGGGGAAAGAAGCAGGAAGAAGTGGAAAATGACAGAGGGAAGAGAGTGGCAGAAGGTGCTAGGAAAGCAGAGGTGCCTGCTGCTACTTAGATCTCAGGGTTTGTTCTGGGTTCTTTGTTGTGGCTTTTAGCCTCTCACATTCGTTTAGTTTTATGCCATAGTAACTGTTAATGTGGAGTCATAAGTGCTCCTGCCTTTCAGCTGAGTTCTTCAGGAGAAAGAATTCTGCACAGTCATGTCTTCTATGGTCACTAACATAATATAAATCCAGACACTGTTTTATAAGAAATGCTAAAATGCTACCAGCAACCAATATAATGGTCCAGGTTTTCAATGATGTTTCCATTTTAAATCTTTAAAAAAAACAATGCAGTAGTCTTCAAGTACTAACATTCTCAGAAGAAAAGCTCTTGGAGGATCCAGTTAATACATATGGATGAACTAAAGTCCACTGAGACTTAAAATAATTCTCAAAGGATTCAGGGTGAATATGCTATAGTATAAATCGTTCTAACAACTTGCATTAATAAGTTTTAACAGCCCACTGACCTCATGCAGAGCTGCTCTTCTTACCCCATCCCCCTGCCAAGAAATAGTCAAGTTTTTATTAATTTCTAAAAGATTAATCTGTGTGACATCCACCCCCTTGTTGCTCAAAGAAAACGTTGGTTCTTTTTATAGTTTGTCACCCATACAAAGCATGTAATCTATAAGATCATGGCTCATTTTTTAAAGAACTAGCAAGATGTTCTGCTACAAAAAATATATGTATCTGTGTCTATGCTAATCCATAGACCCCAGGAGGCATAGAGCTCCAACACCCCAGCTCTCTCTCAGAAGGCAAATCCCATGAGTTCTCAAGGTTGACAAAAAGCTCAGCCCTCTACAGCAAGCCTGAGAGCTCCTACACAGGAGTCAATGAGTCCTGATTACTGTTTCCCTGTGATACTTTTTTTTCTCATTGTTCAAAAGGTTCTTAGCAATATCAGGGCTTTAGGACCAGTCAACTACTTTCAGACTACAGGTAGATGATCTACATGAAGGCAATAGAAATAAAATTTACCCCAAAGTTTCCATCAACTCTTCAACCCACTTGAATCTGGTTCTGTTTCTGAAATTCTTTTCAAAGGGCCCAAATCACCCCCCAAAATTTCAAACACCCAAATATCTCCAAGAGTTCAAGAAAGAACACCAAGTACTTATGACAGACCTGGCACTGTGCACATAAAGATGAATAGCACAGGTCCTTCTTCAAAATTCATGGAAAGTTTGGGTGTGTAAATCAACATGTACACAGTGTAATTGTGTGTACATGCTACAAAAGCCATATCATCAGCATGCTGTAATTATTGCATAAGGTTACAGCAGTTCCACTTGGTCAGGAAAAAAAAAAAAAAGGCAAATAATGAACAGCAATATCAATTTCCTGAGCATTTAAGGACTCCCCAGGCACTGTACCACCTCTGTCTGCTTTACATGCCTGATTTTATTCCATCCTCCAGCAAGCCTGTGAAGTCAGTAGTATAGACCCACTGTATTGACAAGAAACTAAGTCAGGAAGAGAAGGCTAATGCAGAGTTGGCAATCCCACCCAGATGTACCCCACTTGGAGATGTGGCATTCAAACTGAGTATAAAAAGAGGGTGGAGAAGGGACAGAGGGAGGGCAAGAGTTCTTGAATGGCAATGTGCAAAGGCTCAGGGGACTAAAAATATTCTGGAATATTCACAATTTCAGAATTGCATCACTCAGTTAAATCCTTATCAATCTGGTAAGAAGCACATATTTTATTTTAAAATACCCTATGTAAAAATAATACAATATCACTTTTTTCCATTGTCATATTTTACGAATCTTTTGTGTGTGTGTATGTGTGTGTGTGTTTGTTTTCTAACTCACATACATTCTCCAATCCGTGTCTTTCCAATAAAGTAAAGAGCATCTCAGGAAGTGGATGTACCACTAGTAGAGACTATAATGGTTGTTTCTGGAGAACAACTACACAATCTTGAGGGCAGATGAGGTTACAGAGAAAATGACTAAGCAATTAACACTTTGTCCATCAATAATGTTCTCAGGTAGTCTAAGGGAAAGATTTCATAAGAATGTGAATACATGGCCTATGGCTCTTTTTTAAAGGATTTTATTTATTTATTTATTCATTATTTATTTATAACATAGAACCTAATATTTCAGCTCATATAACATAAGGAAACCTGGAAAAACTTTCAAGATTACTAAGAAATAAAAGTGGTCCGTCAAATACACTGCATGTCAATCTAATTTATTTTGACCAAATTAAAAATTTCCTAAAGAAATATACTGCTCTGTCATTAAGTACACTGGCAATTCCACCCCATAGAGCCATGTGCTTACCAGACATTCTGCATCACAGCCACTAGGTGGGATCTCAACTAGTTCAAAACTCTCAAAGACCATCAGGAACAATGCAGAACAAATGGAAAAACAAGCAGTCCTCTCACTGAGCTAGGAAAAATCAAACTCTGTCTTCGAGGTGATGTCAAAAGTTTTGCCAAACACAAGGGAAGACAAGAAAATGCTGAGGGACCAAACTGCAATCTAGGGGCATTTCTACCCCAAAGGAGCAAAGAAATAAATCAAGAAACTCTGAGGAAATGAATCCTATGCAACAAACATAAAAGGACAACTGAAATGTTTGAACAGTTTTGAAACATCTTGTAGCATTATTTACAATAAATAAATTCAAGAGGCTGGGTTGTTTAGTCTTCTTGACTATTTGCTCTTCTGAAATATCCTGCAAAATGTGTTTAATCCAGAGAAGGGCAGCCTGGCTCAAACAGGAATTTACTGTGTGATGTTAAAGGCTTAACAAGTTCCATAAAGATTAAGGCAGAGAATAAAGGAATCCCTTGTAGCAGGAGGGTCCATCTTTATGAAAGAAAGTTTCAGAAGAGAAATCAAATTACTATGTTTTAAAATATAAGTATAAAATTGGATCCTTGAGTGGGCTAGGGTAGACCGCGGGTGGACAGCATCCTTTTCAGGTCTGTGAGGATGATGCCACACACAACCAGGTCTGTACAAAGGGATCTTCCCAGGCAAGGCATTCATGCGGTACACATCATTAACATTCTGCTCTAGGGAAAAGAACTCTGAGCTCCATGATCACTACCCAGGATATTTCAAAGTAAGAGAATGTAAGAAGGAAGAAATGAATTCAACAGACAGACAACCTAGATTTCAGGGCAATAACACAGGAATAAAGAGGAAACACTAAAGTTAATTCAAAGCCATTTGCTTCTGTTTATAGGATTAATCTTTCTAGGTAAAAATCTCCTTAATCTTCTTTACTGATAATCTTTTAAACAGCACAAACAACTTGTTCTACAACTAAAAAGGAAGCTCATGCAAAATTCAATAGCTCTGCCTGGTTTAGACTGGTGCTAGCCGGATATTCAAATCCTGAGAGGTCAGCTCAACCTACAGTGCAGAATATTGGCTCAGCTTCTGAATGAGGCACTGCCAATTTCTTTTGATTTCGGTTTTACTTCATTTCCTTTGATGACAGAGCCCACACCTAACAAGTACAGTGAATCTTATTAACAAAAATTTTCCTCTGCCTCCCAGTTGTCTACACTTTCCTTTTTCCCCCTTGGACAGACACTGTCTTCCACTAATAGGATAGAAATCCGGGGGCCAGAGCAGGGTTCCCTTGAGACTAGAAATACCTTCCCAGTGTCCTCACACAGCCTCTCCCCATCCACAAACAAAGCTTTGTCAGGATTCAAACCAGGTCATTAACTCCTCCACGAAGTTTGACATACCTTTTGGAAGGATCTTTTTGAAGACACAGTGAAAGTAATTTTCTAAAGGACTTGCCATACTTTTTCATCATTTCTTTATCTTCTACTCCGGTTTCTAAAGTGGGTGGATCATTTTGCAAAGTCAACATTAACACCTGCAGCAGAAACACGCATGAAGACAGAACCTCAGTATAGCAATTGCTACAGTGGAATTTGTCATTTTTTACAAAAGCATCAAAGACCCTGGTGACTCAAAATGGAGTAGGGAGGAAGAGCATGAGAAGAAGATTACCACTAAATAGGGAAGAGAGGAGGGAGGGAGAAGGGGAATTGCAAGGAAGATGGAAGGAGACCCTCATCGTTATACAGAATACATGTATGACTATGTGAGGGAAAAAAAAAAAAGAAGTGTGTCACATTAGATTGGGTAGAGAGAAGTGATGGGAGGGGAAGTGAGGGGATGGGGGATAGGAAGGACAGCAGAATAAAATAGACATTATTATTGCTGTATGTGTATACGTGACTATATGGCCAATGTGATTCTGCAACCTGTACACTCAGAAAAATGAGAAATTATACCCCATCTGATTCAAATGTATGATATGTCAAGATCATGGTACTGTCATGTGTAACTAATTAAAACAAATTTTTAAAAAAGCATCAAAAATCCTCCTTCATTAGGTACAAACATGCTTTTCCAAGAGTTTTAACTTTCCAAAAATTGAGTACTAAAAGCTTTCATCTCCCTCTGCCAATCTGTTCATGTACCCTTTAACCTTTTTGTTGCTCCACTGACAGAACTTACAAAAATGTGCTGTATGTGTTAAAAATGATCTTCCAAAAGCAACCGGGACAGGGCTTTCTGGGAACTGGCTCTCACAGGGCCTCAAGGAGCACGTAGCTCCAGCCCTGTCTGGTTGGGAAAGAGAGTGTGGAAGGGAGAGAAAGGCACATTTATGTGTGCAAGCCATTCATAAGCGAGGACCCACCCGTCCGCAGGGCTTCTGTAACATATTACCAAACCTAAAAATAAAATCACAACATCCCAGGAGGTAACATGATTTCCTTTTGGAAAAGAGAGAGAGAGAGAGAGAGAGAGAGAGAGAGAGAGAGAGAGAGAGA